CTATCCTTTTTAGCGTTCTCTCCAGCGCTGTGGCGGGTCTCCGATCCAGCGCTGACTCCTCTGTCCTTGCTGGCACTTCCTGTCCCACGGTGCCTGCATGCGGGTGCACGCGTCCATAGACTTACCTTGCATCTCTCCTCGTCTCCCGGCCAAAAATCCTAACTGTGCATGTGCCCGCAAAAACAATCTTTTTTATTTTGCATATATCTACTGCTTGCTAGCAGTAGATATATGCAAAAAAAACGGAGGGTTTAGAAAGCCTTTAAGACCTACCCAACACTCAATCAGCCAAACTCTGATACTACTCTGAAAGACATGTTAGTTTCACTGTGTAGTACACTTCATACAGATATGTAATCGCTTGTATGACAATTCAGAGAGGATGTACAGGAATATGGGATTGTGTTTCCCGTATTGAAACAAATATGGGTAAATTTGCATCTACTTTAAATGAGTTGGTAGACTCTCATAACAGTAGTGAGGATGACATCAATTGGATTAAAGCCAAGCTGGCAGATCTTGAAGATCACTCTATTTCATAGTAATTATAACAGCCCCCAGACCAACCATTTTTCTCCAGACTCTTTTAATTATGTCATTTCCTCAAACTTCCTCCTCATGGATCAGAAAAGATAGCAACTTCTGCAGCTCGTCAGCTCTTGATTTTGCATCTGAACTATCTACGAATAAGGAGGGCCATTCTAGGGCCAGTAACTATGTCAGAATCAGACTCTGCCAGGACCAACTGTCAGACAAACTTTAAGCAGTTTTAATTTTTAATCCCATTTACCTCGCTATTGCTTACTGTCTGTTTTTGTAATTTTGTTTCAATATTTTCCTTGCACCATTTTCTTTTCAATCAAATATAATTTTAAATTTGTTTAGATTTTAAATTCAAAGCTTTATGTCTAAGCTGTGGATTCTGAGACTACCACTATCACAAGCAACACATGCACACAAAGAGCTTTTACAACAGGTTTAAAAAACCCCATTAAATCTAATCAAACAGCCAGAGTTATCATGCCCTATGAAAGTCACATCAGAAATCAGCAATTAATCCAAATGATGCTTGAATCGGGAGCATCACTTGTGATAATTTGGCTACCAAGGGTTACAAATAGTGAAATTACTGCTTTACTCACATAATGTTCCATTAGGACTGCCATTGTCCTCTTTACAAATTAAGATGCAGCTTAGGCACTGAATGTGCAGATATGTCAGCTTTAGCCACATGTTTATATAAAAACCATTTAAAGGTGGCATAGCCTAACTTATATATGTTTATTTGCACTTGAGAAGGATTTTTGTGCAACATATCAATATAACATTCTTAAAAGTGGTCATTTTAGCAACAGACATAACAAAGTCATTGTAGCCTAGGGTATCAAGATGGGTCTCAATTATGGGCTATTTTCTGCATCACTGTTCATAATATAAAGTTAGACATACTGGGTATACAAAGGACACATTTCCTACTGTGTACAAAATTATAAGTGGTTGAAACTGCTGAGTTTTGATTGTAGCAGGGAGGGCAAATAAACAGTTCTCACTGTACGCAACAATGGCAAATTAATTGAGATGATTGAACAGGATACGATCCTAAAAATGAATGGAGGCACATGAAATTTGCAGATAGTTTCTTGCTTGTCCTCTAGGTATTAGTGACAATGTTGCATGTTATCATTTACAAATTCGACCAATTAAGCAAATTATTCTACATTTTCTTTCCTTGCTCAGTAAAAAAAAATATAGGTGTGTGTGTTCTTTAGAACAGTTTATTATACATTTTTCAACCAACATATACAAAAGAAAGGCAAAGAAAAACTGAAGGACAAGAAAAGAGTCTATACCTATAAGTCGTATAAACAAATTATATAGAAAACCATAGTAACCAGATTTTAAAAAAAACAAGATAAAAAGGTCATGCCAGCCTCCTCCCAAGCTCCTGCAAAAACAGTACGGAAAAAATAAACTTACAAAATCAATCAGCAACAGCTAAGGCTCCCAAAGTTATCACACGTTTTGCCTTTAAAGTGACATTAAACCCTCAGATGTTTTAACATAAAACAATACTGTAATGTGTACCTTACTGTAATCCATGGTAGTTTATTTTCGTCTGACAAAACATGTGGAAAATTGTGTCATGGTCTAATGAAACCAAGATTGAACTTTGTGGAAATAATTTCAAAAAGTATGGTTGGCGCAAAAACAACATTTCACATCACCAAAAGAACATCATACCGTGTGTGTGTGTGTGTGTGTGTGTGTGTGTGTGTGTGTGTGTGTGTGTATTAAATATATTTATTGGGGGCAAATGCAGACACATTTATAATGTTAGATGCATTGGCATTCACAAAAGACTGTTCCCTTATGTATAGTAGGCTTAAAGTGTATAAACCGCCCTTAGTTGTTCACTTTTGATCTGTAAAATATACCATTATTTCCTTATACAGTAGCCATTTTCATAAGTGCAAAATAAATCCTACTGATCTTGCCAGAAATTTTGAGAGCTGAGAATGTTCTGTGTTCTCTGCCTGTGCTGAAAATAAAGCATCCCAACAAGCTTGCATTTAAAGAGTAGGCTAGTCAAAGTATTTTGCAAAAACAAGAATATTTTAACAATTTCAACAAAAATGTAAAAGCTAAGTGAACAGAATAACTGTGGTCATTACAGCAACTGAATCAGGACCTTTTATTTTCCCAGTAATAAGGCAGGTAAGCACAAAGGTCACAAAAAATAGTTTTTTTTCCGTACCATAAAATGCTTTTTTCTGAATTCATTGAAGGACACAACAGATCTCTTGATCTCTGTACCAATAGGTTATACTGCTACTGGAGGGGTTTGTTTGGATCCTAAAAATCATCTTTGATACCATCTTTTTGCCTGGAGCATCTTAGATGATCTGGACACATATCAGGCCAAGGTTTTTTTTCTTCCTTTGGATACCTTTTACAGGCTTCAGTTTTAAATTCAGGAGTGGTTTTCTCGCAAATGGGTGATGATTTGCACTTATATGAGAGTTCTGGGTCTTGTTGGTTGCCTCCTTTGAGGCAGTTACATGTGCGAAACACCATGCTCTGATTACGTGTGCAAGGTAGTTGAAAGATTAATTTCCAGATCTGTCTGGAAATCTGCCTGAAGAAAGAAGACATCCAAATATATCACCACCAATATCCGCTGTCTGAACAAGGCAAGGCTCAGTGCCAAGACTTTGGTGAATACCTGTGGGGCTTAGATGAGGCCAAACAGAAGGTCCACAAACTGAAAATGGTTCTCCCCACCACAAAGTGTAGGAAATGCCGATGCGCATGACAAATCAGAACATGAAGGTAAGTATCCTTACAGTCTACAGTATGGATACAGAAAATACCCCCCGGATGAAGATTATTGATCACTGAGCAGATAGACTGCACTTGAAATTGCAGACCTTGACAAAGCTGTGCAGGGCATAGAGATCCAAAATCAGATGAACCCCGTCTTTTTTGGGCACTTCAAAAAATTCTGACAAAATCAATTTTTCGGATGGTGGGATTGGGACATTGACGCCTATTTGAACCAGATTCTTTAAAACTGACCATAAATTGCATAAGCAGAGTTAATTGAAGGTCTAAATGAAAGAAGCAAGCTAGAGAAGGAGAATTAAACTATTTTATATCCCAATAAAGCCAATCGGCAAACCCAGATGCTTGAAATTTGAGACAACCAGAGGTCCACAAACAGTAGTCTTCTTAGAGGACTTAGACTGTCAATACCTCTTCCGGCCACTGAAAAGAGGAGATTCACTGACCGGAGTCAGAGTAGTTTCATTCAGCACAGAAACTGGGGAGTCTACAAAGAGCACTTTTGAAGTACAAAAACCCTAGATGGGCAACCCCATTCTTTGTAAATAAAGTCTTAGTCAAAGATTTAGACTTATTTGTACTAAAAGGAACTGGAGCTTCAGAAGAAGCAGTAACGCCAGTATAAACAATCTCCATACAGTTAGTGTATTGGCTGGGATTTGAACCAGGGACCCCTCTGCTGCAAGGCAGAAGTGCTGACCACTAGGATACTATGCTGGCCTTCTTTAGAGTCTCACAAATCGAATAAATAAGTGCAGGGACCACTGCTTTCTCTTGTGAAAAAGTAGATGAAAAGGGTTCACCATAACTAGCAGAGTGAGGTTGATCTGTTGCCCCTATAATCCTAGAAGATGCAGAAATCCCAGGGAAAACTTCTTCCTTTGCAAAGCAATCAGAGAGTGATGGAGATGGTGGGAAGCACTTTTTACCCTACTTTTTAGAAATAATTGTATCCACATGCAAAACAAAAACTTCTAAAACAAAGTTTACATAGAAATAGAATAGAACTCAGGGTTCCAGAGCCCCCCAAAGCAGAACCTGAGAGTGATGTAGTGGTCTACAAAGATTTACAGGTGAGGTAAATAGAGCCTGGCCCAGGGGAGGTATAAACTTTGCCACATGTTCACCTAGTTCACCTCAGTGCCTACCGCACCAGCACCACTGGATCTGTAATGATCCAGCTCCACAGGCCTGAACGCACCAAGCCACCAGGGATGAAGGAGGTTCAGCAGGCTTACCACTCTCAGAGAAACAAGTCTGTTTTAAAGTGCAGCCACTGTGTCCTCTGTGCTGACAGAAAGCATGGGAAGCAGGGCTGGCGATGTCACCTGCTGCCTCAGAAGCGGGGACCCACACACAGCACAAAGAGTGTCCACTGATGACAGTGGGATCACTGCTGCTCTGTCACAGAGAAAGTCCTGTTTCTCCCTATACACAGTGGTTGTTTATGAACACAGAGTTTGAAGAATATAGGTAACTCATACCATACTGGTTATATGCTTCACATCTTCCTCATAATAAGCTATGTTTATGATTTATGGTTCATAAAGATATTATTTACTGATAGACTACAGTTCTAAGGCACAAGAAAAAGTGGATCATCAAGCATTTATCTATCACAAAGAGGAAACATTAAAGCAATATCACTGTAGACTTACCTGTCGCAGTGTACGTGCCACTAAACTTTCCAAGACAGGACCTCTGTCTTCATGGAGTAAATGGACCTCATCCAGTATCATTAGCCGCACAAGCTGAGACAGGGCCACATCCCCAACACTTTTCCTAGTAACAACATCCCACTTCTCTGGTGTAGTCACAAGCATCTGTGTGGAAAATAATGTTACATTATTGGCTATAATAAAATATTGCTGTTCACAAAAAAAAAAAAAAAAAAAACTTTTCAAACTTTTTATTTGACACACAAACAGTTGTCCCATAGGGTTAGTGAAGACCAAAGAGAAAACAATTAATTAATAGACAGTCATCTCTATAGATAATGCATCTTTTATATACTTGTATTGCCCAATACACGACCTGTTTTATTTATTTTTAATATATTTGGTAGGATAAAATGACCAGACCAAAGTGACAGTTAACAAACACTAATGAAGAAGTAGGGATATTGACTGATTCACTGATTGATCTAGCGCCACCATATTTTTGGAATTTCAGAAGTAATTACCAAAAAGGCCACAAAAGAGTGTCAGCAACGTGTTGTTAAAATAATTTAACAAATAACCAAGGATCACCGGTCACCATTTATAATCTGATACAAAGGGCATATGTCAGAAATTCAACACCAAGCTATTTCTAGAATATTTATAAAATGTATACATTTATAAATATTAGGATCCAGGTCTATTAGTATCAGCTCCTGTACCCACTGGAAGGGTTTTCCTTTTGTAAAAATTCCTATAAAGCTTTCCTTAACAAAAAAAACCTGCTGACTGTACAATTGAAACTGGTTACTCATGTTCTTAAGGCGAAAAAAGGGGACTAGCCCAAGCATGAAAATCTCCTTTAATCGCCTTTGTAAAAGTTAAAACTCTGGTATTTCATGTGATGTTTTATGAAAGGCTCACGGCCTTTCAGAATGATGCTATGACCAAATTCTGCAAGAGATGGACTCCCTGGATCAAAGCTTACTTGCTAACCTCCATCCATTTGAACTCACTCACAATATGAACACTATGACCTCGCTGAGACAGTTCACTGGTAAAACTGTATTTTAATATTGTGGTTATCTAACCTTAAGCTGTAGTCTCCCCAGAGTTATATTACCTTTCCAGAGACCCTTATTGAAGGGTTATTTTGTTATTATTACCTATAAAATACTCAAAAAGATATTATGAGGCTTGATGCCCTTGTATTTTTACATTTGTGTTGCATTGCCTGTGTACAGTGTAGTTTGCGCTGTACTTGCAATCGTTTCTTATAAAGCCTCTGTACATGTACATGCAACAATCCCTTTTGTTCTTTAGTATTGCTTTTGAACCAAAAATTATACACATATATATATATATATATATGTGTGTGTGTGTGTGTGTGTGCAACCCTTTGGTGCTTTAAAGGGCCACAGTTGGGGCCACATGTGCTTAATAACTTGGTAACTACTGTCTTAGGGCTTCATTTATCTAACTTCCTATACCCGTCAGCACCATCTAGGGTAGTGGTTCTCTCAACCCTTCTAGGGACGGGACCCCTTGGTAACATTTGCCAGATGCGGCTGCTGCAGCGACATCTGGTGGCGTGGCGGGAGATCTGACACTGCTGCGCTAGGAGAGGGCTGAGGAGGACTCTCACCTAGCACAGCAGAAATCACAGAGCGACCCACAGGTTGAGAACCACTGCTATAGGCAAAGACAGGACCGGGCTCTGCAGCTGGAACTACAAGAATTGGATTTAAAGTTTGTGGCTATATAACATATGAGGTACATACTCCGCAGTACTGTCACTGACAGAGCAGCCCATAGAGTTCAGTGTAAACCGTGAGAGTTACCCCTGATAAGATATACTCACTTCCCCTTCTCCAATCTGTACCCCTCCTTCCACACTCTACTATGTTGGAGGAAGCTTGCGGTGTGTCACAGTCATGTGACCAGCTCCTGGGGTGGGCGGGGCCGGCTGTGCCATGTGTACGCTGTCGGAATAAAAAAAAACAGCATAGGAATGCATAGCTAGATTCCTGTTGGCTATTACACTTTTCAATAGCCAATAGCAAACTAGCTCTTGCACCCCCCATCTGTTGCTGTCAATCACTAGAAGGGGACCTGATGAAGAACTTCCGGTCCCCCTCTGCTGATTGGCAGCAGTAGAGGGCGGGTGCAATGGCTAGTTTACTATTGCAAAGTGAAATAGCCAATAGGAATCTAGCTATGCATTCCTATGGTGGTTTGTTTTTTTTTTTCTGACTTACGGCGGCCCGTGGCTCCGATGTCAGGAAAAAAAAACATAGCAGAGAAAGGTTCACTCTGCTCGATCGAGCAGAGTAAACCTTTCCGGGAGAAAGTGCTTCTCTCCCCGGCAGCCGGGAGCCGCTAGACGACCCCTGGCAAATCGGCATTCGACCCCCGACGGGGTCGCGACCCACAGGTTGAGAACCGCTGATCTAGGGGCACTAGTGCTGTGCAAATGCCATCTGCCCAGATGGAAGTTATTTTTTTTTTTTTTAAATGAAGCCCTTAGAGTAAGGATGTTTTTGGTAGCATTTGCTGAAAAATAATCCTGTCCATGTAAATTGATACTGCGTTCTTACACTTTATAAACTTACTATGTTGTTAGCTTGTTTATGTAAATAGTGTATGGAAAGAGTTACTGGGTTCTTTTACAGTATGAACTTACTAAGTGATCCAATGGTCAATAGAAAGGATTGATGTGCTTTAATATTTTATAAACATAATATTTATCAGCTTAGTTTAGAAAGAGTTTGTGTGTGTGTTCCTAAAATTTACTGTTTGATCAGTTTTTCCTAGGATATAGATATAGATATATATCTATATCTATAGATATATATCTATAGATATATATCTATATATATATAGTTTATGTGATGCTACTAAAGGAGTTAGTCAGAGACTGCAGACATGCTATATGTGCTGTTAGAGACTTCAATAACTGCTGCAGGAGACAGAGACTGAAGACATTTTATTTGAGATTGCTAGGGCTCACTGCCATTACTGAGCCTCTGCAACACTGTTTCTCTGAAACTGCACCTATTCTTTAAAGTGGAACTCGTTTTCGTCCATGGACTAAAATAAAAAAAGACTCACCTGATTCTCAGTCCCGCCTGGCTACTAAACCAGTCCCCACAGGCTCCTCTGCCCGAAGCGCCGGTGGTCTAAGGACCTGTGACGCCATCCACGCAGAGCAGAGGGGGAGAGAGATGAGTGCTGACCGCCGCAGGACCGAGGATCAGGCGAGTATCTATTCTGGCTCCTAGAAAAAAAATGAGCAGATAACCTTTGCAGTGCAGAAGTTGCCCCACTGCAAGGGTTAGTTTTTACACTGCTTTGGAGTATACTGGACATAAGAAATGTTCACATGGATTCTACATACCGTACACATGTAGACACATATACTGTAACACACATCCAAATGTTAATTCTGTCTGAATGTTACTCAAGCTAGTATTCAGTGAAAGAATCATGGGTTCCCCATATACTGGCAGGTCAGGTGGAAAATTGCCTGTATGACTGGTTAAAGAGTATGTACAAGTAAAAAATATTTTTTCGTATGGTGCCCTGCTGTGGAGATTTCCCTTCACTTTTTGTCCCCGAAATTCAGCATATGAGAGGACATCTCTCCAAACTGAACACAATTTCCATCTTAAAGAGTTGTCATAGGAATAGGTGTTCCCATTGGAAGATTCCCCTTGACCTTTTGTTCTTTTTAATTTTGTCTTACTTTCTGTCTCTGTGACAATAGTTACCAACAAACTATCAAGCAGCAAAATAAATAAACAATTTATAACCCCTCCATCTAATGACTAAATACACCTTCAGATGTCATCATACATTTTAATATTTTTTAACATGAATGATTTTGCAAGTGCTTTAAATAGAAAAGAAAAAGTTACTACTTAATTGGACAATAAAAAGTGAATTATGCCTCAATACAGTATATGGGCAGAGCTAGGCCACATTTTTGTTGTCAACTGTGATAAGACTAGCTGATGCAAAAGTGTTTATCCAACAGCATTAGGAAAATACTTTCCCTTGTTAACAGTAGACAAAGCTTCAATCTGTCTGACAACACACACACGTGCGGTGGTCTTATCAATGTCCTTTGTATGCTAATGACCTACATACAAAATTTGAATATTTTAACAAGGCAATTTATTAACCAAAACTTGTCTAAATGCTACAGATGCAACTGTTATTATTTGGACATTAACCATGTCAGCTACTTAGATTAGCAGCTGTACTTCGACACAACACTAATTAACAAACTGTAATGGAATATATTTAGCAATGCATATTACAATTTTCAAGGTGTGAAGACAACTAATCCAAGCTATTTAAGCAATTTGTTAAAGCTATGCTGTGTTGCTGAATAATCTACCAGAAATATGCTAAACAAGTGTTCCAGGATTTTTAAATTAAAGGGCATCTTACAGAGGATATCTAAGAAATATAGAAAACCCCGATCTGGCTAGAAATAGCCTGTATGATAACAGGTTTTCTTCTGCAAACCTCGTAAGCTAACAAGTTAAATCAAATGCTGGCCACATGAATGCAGAAATAAGGTGTCTGGCAGATGGTCTAGTCATTTGTGACTTGATCAGATGAGGATTTCATAACTATAGAAGGTTCAGCAGTCACTGGCTCTGTAGAAGAGGTAAATACTGGTCAGGCATTTAAAGAAATGTACCTGTACACTCTTATTTCCATCTAGGTAAGCCATCGCTGGGATGGCTTGTGTATGCTATGCTCCTTCATAGCATACACATGCAACACTCAAAATCGCTGGGATGGATGGTGTATGCTCAAAAAATTTGAGCATGTGCGTTACTACAAAACATTGTCCAGAGAGCATCTCCCTACTTATGTTTGAGGATCACTGTGGCGCTAAGAGACAGTGGTGAGAGAGGCACCTTGAACTCTAAAGATTGCTGCTCGGACAAGTGACTGACTCCATACTCATAACCACATACTTTTGTCCAGTCCTTCAGTGCCCACAGATGTAACAAACACAGAGCTCTGTGGTTTACATTTCTATTATCTACAGGGCTCCAACTTTCATCATTACACATTGGGGGGAATTTATCAAAGCAATTGCAACAGTTTTAGCCTATTAGATAATTTTTTTATGTGCAAATCTGTTT